AACCCCTGCCCACTGACCCTTGGTTTGGGCGCCTTTTTAAGCCACAGTCTGTTTCTTGTGTCTCTGGATCTTCCACCTTCCCACTTCACCCACTTCCAGGCTGAGGACCTGTCTCTCCAAGCCCTCCTACAGCTCCTTGACAAGGGAAGCTTTCCATGTGTACTTGGGGCCAGACTGTCTGTCCTCGGATTTGGTGACAATCGCGGCAGCCATCTCCCAGCACACGAGCAGAATGTGAGCTGATGTCTGCAGACCGAGTGCCTCTGCGTGGGTCTGTCCAGAGGGTGGGCTGGGACTGGTAGGGCCTCATGCCGCTCGGGCCTTGTCGGAAATGATGCCTGGCCCCGGTCCAGACCCACTGCATCTGGGATCTGCATCTTCACAAGACCCCGGGCGGCTGGTCCAGCACACAGATGACCTCTCATGTATGGCTCAGAAGTAATAACTGACGACACCTCTAACAGTCAGAAGATTTCACGGGAGAAAGAGATCGCCAGCTTTTCTCAGCCGGAAGATGGGGCAGCCCTGGTCATCTGCAGTGGCACCCCTGCCCCTCCACCCCCTCCACACCACCAGGGTGCTGGTTCTCGGGTCACCGCAACAGCCTCCGGAGTGGTCACCTGCTGTCACTTCTCCTGCTGTCACCTCTCCTGCTCCCTGCCTGCCCCTCCCAACCCCTGGGCCTGAAGCCCCTGCCTCAGCCCCGAGGACCACCCCCAGCTGTTCCTCCTTGCCCTCTGCCCCCGCCCTCACCCTGTTCTCTGCCTGGACTGTCCTTGCTCAGGGCCAGGAGGCTCCGCCCTCTCCACCGTGAGGTGCAGAATCCACTGCCACCTTCTCAGGCAGGCCCTGCTGGGTCTCCGTCTTTAAAACAGCACCGGCATCACCAGCACTGTGTTTTGGCGCCTAATTATCCCCAAGGCACCCTACATGGTCTCCCGCGTGGCCCTTACAGGGCAGAACGTGGTGCAGGCTGACTCGCTGTGTCTCCGTGAGCACCAGTGTCCTCACCGCCAGGTCCCCACTGCCCGGGTGCTACCTAAACAGCCTAGGCTCCACCAGTAATTCAGTAACAGGCTGTTGAATGACAAGGGGTCACCAGCAAGTGCCCTCCTCTCTCTGGGGCTCAGTTTCTCCACTTGTAAGAGGAGCAGCCTTGGCCACAGCACCGTGAAGACTGCCCATCTCCAGGAATGAATGTGTGCTCTCTGTGGGGGTGACTCTGTGCCTTCTCCCCTGGGCTGCTCCCTACAACATCAGGAGGGAAGCCCGAAGGGAGCCCTGCAGGCCAGGCCTGGCAGGAGGGGAGCAGAGAAGCAGAGCCCGCAGGAGGGGAGAGAAGGCATCATGGCTGTCCACAGAAGTCAGTGCTCCTCAGACTGAGGCCGGGTCCATGGCAAGAAATCTGTGACATCATGACTTAGTGACAGGGCAGGGCAGGCAGGACATGGAGGGAGGAGGCGAAGGCAGAGGAAGCGGTGGGTGGCTGGGCCAAGGGGTGAGGGCCAACAAAAAGGGCCCTCAGGGCACAGGGTAACTGACGTGGAGGCTTCACAAACCCAGGAACTATTTCTGCGTTCACCGCACTCTGGTGTGGTTTCATTCGTTGTTTAACTTTCTTTAAATGGCCACTAATGACCCAGGTCCTGGCTCCCCACAGCCACCAAGAGCCCACCTCCAGGCAGTTTAAACCCTGGGGTCAGCAGGAATGCCCCAGGGGCTGTAGGCCAGGAAGGGAGGCACCCACGGGAAGCCATGGGGGGCATGGAGCCTGGGAGGGGCAGTTGCTGGCTGGGCAGCTGTTCTCAGGGTACCGCTCCTTAAGGGACACGCCCTGGGGATTGTCTGGCGGGTCACAACTGCCTGCACATTTGCCACTGAAGAGTGAGGGCCACAGTTGGGCTTGGAGCCCACCAGCCTCACGACAGAGTTGCCCCTTCGGAACCTCTCAAACCTCATGTCACGTTGGAGCCCTGAGCCAGAAATCCCAGCACTCAGGGCATGGCAGTTCTGCCTGCTGCATGACCGGCCCTTCTTGGAGGACCCCGATGGTGCGAAAGCTACTGGGGAGGCTGCAGGTCCCCTGTCACCCAACGCTTCATCTTAAACAGAGCCAAGGGCTCCTGGGTCAGGCTCCAAAGCACAACGGTCTAGGATGCGGGGTTTGCATCTGTGCACAAGGGACCCAAAGGTGTGTAGTGACCCCTCATATCATTTAAGATATGGCTTAGAGCCTGGGCAACAAAGTGAGGCCCCATCTCCACAGAAAATTAATACATGCACCAAAAAAAGCTAGTGCAGTGGCTCACACCTGTAATCCCAGCACTTTGGTAGGCTAAGGTGGGAGGATTGTTTGAAGCCAGGAGTTCAAGACCAGCCTGGGGAACATGGTGACAGCCCATGTCTACAAAAAATTTAAAAATTTGCCAGGCGTTGTGGCATGTGCCTGTAGTCCCAGCTACTTGGGAGGTGAGGCAGGAGGATAGCTTGAGCCCAGGAGTTCAAGGCTGTAGTGAGCCATGATCAAACACTGCACTCCAGCCTGGGCAACAGGGTGAGATCCTGTCACTATAAATTAATTAATTTAATTTAATAAAAATAAAATATGGCTTGGATATCTCTCTGGAATCTCAGTAAGCAATTCACGGTTTGACACCAAGTCCATCATGCAACGTGCAAAAAGAAAGGGCCTTCTCTTTGCAAACAGGACTAGCTGTTTCCCTCCCACATCTTCTGCAGGGTGAGGCCCACAGCACTCATGGGAGCAGTGGCCCGGTGGCCGTTGAGGCTGGGATCACTCTGGCTGCAGGTGTCACGTGTGGCTCTCACCCCGTGAGACGGTGCAGCACAGGAGCATCTGCCATTTTGTTTTCCATGGAATTTAAAGATTGGGTTATCTCCATCTGCCCGGCAGCATTGTAAGTCACTTCCAAACACCAGGGCCCTGTCTCCACTGATGTGAGAATAACTGGCCCGCCAGGCCTCTGCAGACAGAACCCCGCGGCTTGGGTTTGCTGGTGGTTTCTGTTGGGGGGTGATGGGCACCTGGGCTGAGCACTGGACCCGTGACTGTGACGCAGTGAACTCGTGTCCTTCCCACAGCAGCCCTGGGAGGCTGCATTTCTGGGCCCTCATTCTGGAAAAGGAGAAGTTGCCCAGGGCGGGAGAAGGCGAAGCCCAGATTCTGTCTCCATTAAACCTTGAAGAGGTCTGTCTCCTGGTCAACAAGACAGGCCAAGCACAACCCATTCACAACCCCCTAAACCCCACACAAAACCACACAGGACCTGCATGGCGCGTCACCCTCTGGCCCAGTGCAGATACTACGGACGCTGGTGGATTCCGGCAGATTCCGCCTGTCCACGGCATTGATAAGCATGACCATGAGGCAGGCAGTGACCCAGGCAGGGGTGGGAGTTCAAGCCCTGATAATGAAGTGCCTGCTGTGAAACACCTGTGCTTGGCACCCCCTCCAGGAAGCTGCTGTGATCAGAGACATCCTGACTCTTTCCAAAGCCACCCAGAAGAGCCTGAGACTGGGAATGAGCTCCCAGGAGAAATGACTGGCCGCGATGAGCACACGAGGCTCTAAGAGACCAGGACCCCGCATGGAAGATGAGTCTCATGACAAACCTGTCCAGGAGACGCTAGAGGCGTCACTTTTCCCTGCCTGACTTACCCTCCAGCCTGGTCCTCTCTCAGACCCCAAAATGCCCAATGCCAGCCACAGGTCACAGCCCAGCATCCAACAGAACACCAGTTCCCAACACATCTGCCAAACCCAGCCTGGCTCGGAGCAGCCACGTCGGTGCAGTCAAACCAGCCCTTCCGTGAACCCCAATCCACAGAGGTGAGTGTGGGTGTCCACAGTGCCAACAGGACACCTCCGTCCACTCCTGGTTTCCACCTACAGGTGAGTCTACTTGCCCTACCCCAGACCCAGGGGAGCCCAGGCCACGCTGCTCCCAAGTGAGCTCTCCAAAGGATTCCTGCGCATTTAGAATAAAACTCACACTCCTCCCTTTAGAGTAAAACTCACAGTCTTCCATTTAGAATAAAACTCACAGTCCTCCATTTAGAATAAAACTCACATTCCTCCATTTAAAATAAAACTCACACTCCTCCATTTAGAATAAAACTCACACTCCTCCATTTAGAATAAAACACATACTCCTCCATTTACAGTAAAACTCACACTCCTCCATTTAGAATAAAACTCACACGCCTCCCTGAGGCCTGGACACTGGAGCTGAGCCTGCTCCTCCCAGCCTCCTGCCTCCCCAGTGCCTCAGAGCTCAGGGTGTTCCACCCACAGCCACGCCTAGCCTCTTCCTGCCCCCTGCCCTTTGCATTTGCTGTTTTCTGGCCTAGAACATTCTTCTCCCAGGCCTTCAGGACAGTCGCTTCCTCTGGCCATCCAGATGCCACGTCCTGGAGGCACCTCTCCTCGCCCCTCCGTGAAGACAGCCCTGTTCCCTGCTGTCATCTTCTACCAGGCTGTCGTCTTCCACTTTCTTCCTACACTGATTCACAGTTACTAATTTATCTACTAGTTTATTATCAGTCTTTCCCAGGAGAGCACAAACTCCTCAAGAGCAGGACTTGAGGTCCTGCAGAGCCCCCAGTGCCCAGCAGAGCCCCCAGTGCCCAGTTCACAGTAGGCGCCCAGTAAAAATCTGCCAGAGGGACGGATGGAGGGATGAGGGGTCCCTCCTCGGATACCCGCCTGGTGCAGTCCGGGTGTCGCTGTGGGAAGCACACCACTCCGGACTTGGCTTACACAATCATGGGCTCCTTGGATATTTGCTGGCGCCCAATACATGCAGGGCCCTGGGTGACAGAGCCAAGCAAGAGGATGGATTCTGTTTTTAAACACAGGCCCCATGGAGTAACATGCCCAGGGCCCACGGGCACTGGTGAGCAAAGCGTTCCTTTTGCCCCGACCTGCAGGCTCACGGCACATCCTCCAGGTTCCAGGACCCCTGAGGCCTGGCTCTTACCTCCAGCGGGACCACCTGCATGAGGATGGCGAAGTTGGTGAGGTGAGTGCAGTGGCAGATGGAGTAGGTGAGGTTTCCTCCCGTGAGCACACAGCCCTGGTTCGACCAGACCCCTTCTCCGGAGCTGAGAACACAGGAGAAAGGATCAGAGGTAGCAGCACTGTACCCTTGGCAGGGGACTGAGAGCGGCACTCCTACGCCACACGGGCCCATGAACTCACGGCGGTGCTCTGTTGGTGTGAATACTGGTGATTATCATTTTCTTCTCTGTATTTCTGTATATTTTGGTTTTTGTTTGTTTTGAGACAGGGCCTCATTCTGTTTCCCAGGCTGAAGTGAAGTAGTACAATCAAAGCTCACCGCAGCCTTGACCTCCGGGGCCCTTGCAAGCCTCCTGAGTAGCTGGGACTACAGGTGCATGCCACCACGCCCAGTCAATATTTTTATTTTGTCTTGCTATGTTGCTCTGGCTGGTCTCCAACTCCTGGGCTAAACAATCTTCCTGCCTAGTCTCCCAAAGTGCTAGGATTACAGGCGTTAGCCACTGCACCCTGTCTTCTATATTTTCAAATTCAAAAAAAAAACAAAAACAGATTTAAATTGTTCTTCCCTGAAGTTGCAACCTCACGCTATTGGTAAAGACAAATCCTTGCTTCAACCAAAGGCAAGAGCCCTTGGGGAAAGCATTTCTAAAGGTGACAAGTTAAAAGGCTCTAGTTTGCATTTGCTTTGTATTGACTTTCAACTGTGGTGTCAGTATGGACGTGGCAGATGAGACTGTGGCTGTCGGGCGGCGTGACCGGTAAGATCCAATCTCGTACCTCTCCGGCCAATGTCCACGGGACAGAGCACGTGCCTGCAGCCTTGGGTAACGGTAACTCTGCATTAGCCCTGGGTGACGCAGAGCCCAAGGGAAGGACTGGGATGGTCCTTCAGACATGGCCCAGGGGTGGTTCTGAGCTTGAGGATGGAGACTCAGAGACAGCAGCTCAGGGGTGATTTTCATGATTAATGACCTGCTCTCCTAGGGGAGGGAGAAGGCATTTAGAAGACACCAGAGGACAAACTGAGAGTCACTCAGACCTACCAGTTTAGAGGCGCAAAACCCCATTAATAACTTCAGAATTGATGGGACTTAAAGATGGGGTCACGCCCTTCTCCTCTACCTCCCCACCCTCTTGATCTAATTTTCCCAGAACCTTGGAGGGAGTCATCAAGTGCCAGCTTTGGTGTTATCCATCGAGCCTTTGTCTGTCTGTTGGCTGACGAGTACCATACTTCAATCTGAGGGTGGCCTGAACATTAACAGGCACTGAAACAGGTGAACATGGTCATGGGTATGAGCTGCCCCTGCTGCTTACACAAAGGGTGAGCTACACAACATGAAAGTCACATAGTTCAGATGGAGCTGCAAAGGTGTGATGATGACCTCGTCAGCCAGAGGACCGGAGCCTTAAACGGCATCTACGAAGATCTACTTCCAAGGGAGTCAGTGAAAGCAAAGAGGCAGGCTTGCAGCTTGTGCATAAATCAATCTGCTACGGAAGCCAGACGGAGCAGCATCAAATAACATGAAAAATGCAAACGGCCCTGTGACCCAGAAGTCTGCATCTAAGAAAAATGTTCAGTCATGCATAAATAAAATACAGCATACATAAATATAGGAAAAGACATGTGTGTCCATACGGGCAAAATGCAGAAACCGAATGGAAGCAATGATGGCAGAAACTCTGAATTAAACACCACCATGCACTTTCTACGATTAAAAATATAAATTATATATAAATTATCGAAAAACACACATTAAAACCCTCCCACAGTGGTTACTGCTGGGGAAAGAGGTGGCAATCAGGGTAAGAGGTAAAGGTCAAAGGGAACACATGCGTTTCTATAATGTTTTACTTTCTTAAAAATAAATTTATTAATATATTACTTGTATAATTTCTTAAAGTCTCGGTCTAGAAAAAAGCAGCCCAGAATTCTAAGCCCAGTGGAAATCTTTCAAGAATAAAAGAGAATACTTTCTCAGATGGTAACCGAATCTATTCCCAGTGAACCAGCACTACAAGAAGAGTTAAAGGAATATGATACTGGACAAAAATCTACACAAAGAAAGAGAAGAGCTAGAACTGGAGTAAGTGAAGGTAAATAAGCAATTATTACTGTCTTGTTTTTAATTGCTCTAGAAGATAACTCGTTCTCTGGGGGAAAACGCTAGCAGTGCATTGTGTTTACGGCATCTGCAAAGGGGGATGCGCGGCAGCAGCAGCACACAGAACGGGCAGGAAGATGTGTGGCACTGTTAGCACAGTGTCTCAGAACGCATTCGGAATGACAGCACAGTATCTGAAGGCAGGCACGAATGAAGTAGACATATCATATACATTGTAAGCTTAGGTCAACCACTACCAAAAAAGTTAAAAGGATGTATAAATTAGAAGTCATTTATCGTAGAGATAACATAGCATCATAAAAGATATCCAACAATCCAAATGAAGTCAGAAAAAGATAACATTTTAAAAAGATAGAAAAGTTAGAAGACATCTAGCAAAATGGTAGGTTTTAATCCAGCCATACCAATGATCACGTTAAATATAAATTTTCTAAATATGTCAATTAAAAACAGAAATTTTAGGACTGGATTAAAGAAAAGACAAGACCCAGCTATATGCAGTCGAAAAGAAACCCACTTTAAATATAACTATATAAATAAGATGAAAGTTAAATTATGGGAAAAGATAGCAGCATTCAAACACTAATCAACAAAGCTAGAGTAGTTGTATCTAAATTAAACTAATTAGACTTCAAAGTAACACATATTTCCCAGGGTAAAGAGGAACATTATGCAATGATAAAAGGGCTAATATTCCAAGAAGACATAACAATCCTAAACATACATGAACCTAATAGAGCTTCAAAATTCATTAAAGAAAAATTCATAAAACTAAAAGGAGACATAGATAAATCCACCACTAAAATTGGAGAATTCACACTCCTTTCTCTTTAATTGATAGCAAAGTTAACAGAAAAGTAGTAAGAATATAGAAGACCTAATCATAACTGTCAATCCACTTGGTGTAACTGACATTTATAGAATACTCCACCAAGAATACACTTTTTTCAAGTGCACATGGGACTTTCATTAAAAAGTGAACATATACGGGATCACATAAAAACTTCTGACAAATTTAAAAGAACTAAAATTATAGAAAAAATATTTTCTGAGTATAAAAAAATTATCTGAGTATAAAAAAAATTATGGCAGAAAACTCTCTGGAAGATTCCCAACTGTTTGGAACTAAACCACATACTTTAAAATAACACATAGGTTAAAGAGGAAATCACAAGGAAAATTAGAAAATATTTTAAATTTAATCAAAATTAAAACAACATACCAAAATGTGTGATGCAGCTAAATCAGTGCTTACAGAAAATTACAGCATTAAATGTTTATATTAGAAAATAATAAAGCTTCATAGCAATAACCTAAACCTATACTTTAAGAACTTTTAAAATGAAGAGCAAATTAAACTCAAAGAAGCCAAAGGAAGTAAATTAAAGACAAAGAGGATAAGTCACTGAAATTGACAACAAACACAAAAAAGAAAAATCCATGAAGCCAGAAGTTGTATCTTTGGAAAAAATCAATAAAATTAATTAACCTACAGTAAGAGCGACTCCAAAAAAAGAAGAAACAGATTCCAGATAGAAAAAGTGAAATGGGAACATCACCACAGACCCTTCAGACATGAAAAAGGCTAATAAGGGAATACCACAAGAAACTCTGTGCCTATAAATTAAACAACTTTGATGAAATTGATACGTTTTTCAGAAAAAAAACATAAACTGCTAAAACTTATTTAAAAAGAGGCAGACGACCCACATAGTCCTGCATCCATAAAAGAAATGGAAAGTGAAGTTGAAAACCTGCCCACATTGAAAACGAGGGCTCAGGTGACTCCACGGTGAATTCTACTAAAACGGAAAAAAATACCAATTCTATACAAACTATTCCAAAGTGCATCCCAAAATGTAGCTTTTTATGAAGGTATCATTACCTCGATATACAAATGATACTATTACAAAAAAATAAGAGAACTGCAGACCAATATGCACGTAGACACGAAGATTCTCAACAACTGTAGCCAATGAGATTCGGCAAAATACGAAAAGATAATACATCATGACCAAGTGAGCTCTCACCCAGGAAAGCAAAGCTGGTAAAACTTCCAGCTTTCATCATAATGATCCCACTCTGAAAACAACCCAAATGTTCCTCTACTAAGGAGAATACCACTCAGCAGTGAAGTGTAAAAATGAGCTGTTGATACATGCAACAATGCGGTGTCATTGTGCGCAACACATTATGCAAAATTTAAAAAGTTAGACTCCAAAAGGCTGTCTACGCCATGATTCCATTTATGCACACTCTTGCAGAAGCAAAACTATAGAGGGACAGAAGACAAATCAGTGCTTGCAGGAACCAGATGTGAGGAATGGGATGACTACAGACAGACACGAGGGGATCTTCAAGGGTGAGGGATGGTGCTAATCCTGATGACGGTGGTTGCACAACTGTATTCATTCGTCAAAACTCACAGAACTGTACAATCAACTAAAAGTGTGGATTTTTCTGAATATCAACTATATATATATATATAAGTAGTAACTGAACAAGAAACAGGAAGGATACAGATACTATACGCATGATGGTGGCTGCCTTTGGGAAAAAGAACAGAAAAAGGTGGGGGTTCTTTAATACCATCTGCGATGTTTTACTTGTTTCATTCTTAAAAATATAAAAATAAGGGCTGGGCATGGTGGCTCACACCTGTAATCCCAGCACTTTGGGAGGATGAGGTGAGCAGATCATGAGGTCAGGAGATCGAGACCATCCTGGCTAACATGGTGAAACCCCGTCTCTACTAAAAATACAAAAAAATAACTAGGCATGGTGGTAGGTGCCTGTAAGTCCCAGCTACTTGGGAGGCTGAGGCAGGAGAATCGCCTGAACACAGGTGGCGGAGGTTGTAGCGAGCTGCGATCATGCCATTCCGCTTCAGCCTAGGCCACAGGCAACATGCTAATAACTATAAATTTTGGGCAATGGGTACCTGCATTTGTTATATTATTCTCCACACTTTTCCCTGTTCTTAAATTTCCTCCAAAAATAAAAACCAACATGCCAATTTAGTTTTCACCAAACCCCAGTTCCAATTTCTAGTCATAACTTTTTTCTCCAAACAGTGCCCCCAAATTGGGATACTTATTTCTAGGAGCACATGCTTCCAATTTTTCATAAGTTACAAATGAAGGAAAAAGAGCTGCAAACTGCTGAGCCTGAGCAGGACAAAATCACTGAAATGACAGAGCACCCTTCCATGCTGCAGAGGCATGACGCCAATGGCCACAACCAGAGGGAGGCCTCCCGGGGACAAAAAAGTCAACGATGTTTGCTGGGGCTGACAGCAGCTACGCTGTGTTTTCCTCACTGTTCACCGAACAGACATACAGGGGGTCACGCTGACCCACCACTGCACCCCCAGCTTAGTGTCTTGCGATCTCTTGGCCTCTGGGTGCAGGGAGCAGAGCAGCTTTCTCTGTCGGGGTCACGCCAGCAGACATGGCACAGCCTGTGAAGACGCTGGGCTGGAGCAACAGGAGGAAGGAGCTGGGAAGTGATCCAGGCAGGGGAAGATGCCCAGGTGCTGGGGAGCCCTGCCAACATGAAGAGTGACAGGCCACTAGGCAGGGTATGAACTGGAGGTCCCAGATGTGTTCAGCTGCCTGTGCAGTATTTTAAACATTGGGAAAGTTCATGTAAAAATCCAGCCACAGCCAGGCACAGTGGCTCACACCTGCAGTCCCAGCACTTTGGGAGGCTGAGGCAGAAGGATTGCTTGAGTCCGGGAGTTTGAAAGACTACAGTAAGCTAAGATCACACCACTGTACTCCAGCCTTGGTGACAGAGCAAGACCCTGTCTCAAAAAAAAACAAAAACAAAAAACAAAATTCAGCCATGAAAACTCATGACCTGGTAACATAGGACCTGCTACCTGCCAGCCACGTGGAACAAGCCCTGGGGGTGTAGGCGAGCAGTGGCTCAGGGTTCAGGAGCCCCACCCTTCCCTCCACTCCCTGGCCCTGCTAGGAGCTGCGTTTTCAACACCGCTCTGACTGTGGGAGCCACTCACTGTGGGCTCATGTCTGGAGCAGAATCGTGATCAGAGCGATGGTGGGAGATCCCCGGACACGGGGCTGGTGAGCCGTGGAGGGCGGGGGCTAGGAGGGCAGGAGGAGACCGCCTGTGACAGGCGTGACAGGCGGACATGGACGATACTGAGGGCTTGGACACCTCGCGTCCACCCACCCTCCCCCATGCAGAGGGTACCTGAAGTCCAGGAAGGCGCAGTACACGAAGACTTGGTTGCTGCTGTTGGTGGCCTCACTGTGCTGCTTACGCGTCTGAAATGAAAGAAAACAAACACGACGCATGACACTGCTGAAGAGGCCCCCGGTCCTCAGCACTAGCTTGAGAGCCAGACCCTCACAGCTGGGCAACCCCAGGCAGGGACAGGCGCGGCCACCGAGTTCTGTCTCCAGACATTGTGAGCATAGTCCCATGTCACCCAGCCCAGGTCATGCTGCCCTCTCGTCTGCCCTCCCTAACCCACCCAAGGGCCCTGGCAGGTGCCAGGCCCTTCCTCTAGTACGCTCCTCCCCCAGGATGCTCCTCCCCATAGGATGCTCCTCCCGCTAAGACGCTCCTCCCCCTAGAACGCTCCTCCCCATAGGACGCGCCTCCCCATAGGCTGCTCCTCCCCATAGGACGCGCCTCCCCATAGGACGCTCCACCCCATAGGCTGCTCCTCCCCATAGGCCGCTCCACCCCATAGGACGCTCCTCCCCATAGGACGCTCCTCCCCATAGGACGCTCCACCCCATAGGACGCTCCTCCCCATAGGACGCTCCTCCCCATAGGCTGCTCCTCCCCATAGGACGCTCCTCCCCATAGGACGCTCCTCCCCATAGGACGCTCCACCCCATAGGACGCTCCACCCCATAGGCCGCTCCTCCCCATAGGACGCTCCACCCCATAGGACGCTCCTCCCCATAGGCCGCTCCTCCCCATAGGACGCTCCTCCCCATAGGACGCTCCACCCCATAGGACGCTCCTCCCCATAGGCCGCTCCTCCCCATAGGCCGCTCCTCCCCATAGGACGCTCCTCCCCATAGGACGCTCCACCCCATAGGACGCTCCACCCCATAGGACGCTCCTCCCCATAGGCTGCTCCTCCCCATAGGACACTCCTCCCCATAGGCCGCTCCTCCCCATAGGACGCTCCTCCCCATAGGACGCTCCACCCCATAGGACGCTCCTCCCCATAGGCTGCTCCTCCCCATAGGACGCTCCTCCCCATAGGCTGCTCCTCCCCATAGGACGCTCCTCCCCCTAGGACGCTCCTCCCCATAGGACGCTCCACCCCATAGGACGCTCCTCCCCATAGGCTGCTCCTCCCCATAGGACGCTCCTCCCCATAGGACGCTCCACCCCATAGGCCGCTCCTCCCCATAGGCCGCTCCTCCCCATAGGACGCTCCTCCCCATAGGACGCTCCTCCCCATAGGCTGCTCCTCCCCATAGGCTGCTCCTCCCCATAGGACGCTCCACCCCATAGGACGCTCCTCCCCATAGGCTGCTCCTCCCCATAGGACGCTCCTCCCCATAGGACGCTCCTCCCCATAGGCCGCTCCTCCCCATAGGCCGCTCCTCCCCATAGGCCGCTCCTCCCCACAGGATGCTCCCTCCCGACTCCCTGCCATGCCTCTGCACTAAGGAGTTCCTCAGAGAGACCTTGCCTTCTCAACCTGTCCTAAACAGCACCAGCCCCTGTCTGCCCTAGCTCCATTCCACTCCCTGATTTTTTCATAGTATTGATCACCATATGGCACGTTATATATTCACTGTCCACTGTATGTGTGTTTGCTACCTTCCCTCTGCAATGTCCACTAGAGAAAGGACAGAGACTCTGTCTCATTCACGGCTGCATTCCCAGGACCTAGAGAGCAGGTGCTTACTAAATATCTGTTCAACCAATGTACAAAAGAATAATTCAACAGGTCCCTGAGACCACCTTGTTTTGGGAACTGGCATTCTCTCCTGGGCTGCCTCTGGGGGTGTCCTCGGAGGACTCTGCAGCTATGGCTCTGCCCTAAATGAAAGGCACGATGCCTTCAGGAGCCATGGTTGGAGGCGCAGGAGGCCAGTGGCTTCATCAGGACCCAGGGCTGCTCAGAGGCGGCATGGCTCCAGGGTAAATGGTGTCTGATGGGTTCCCAGTCAGTCCAAGTCAAGCATCTCTTATGTGCCCAATGCCTGCTCCATTCTGTGACCCGTTCCTGAGCCATCATTGCTCCAGTGAGACCCTTCCCCCATTTCAGGGTGAAGAGCTCTCAGGAAGCCACTGTCTTATGCAGGACAGAGCAGCAAGGGTGGCCCCCCTCTAAGCACCATCTTGGCCTCTACCAAAGCCCCTCCTTTCCCAGGAAGCAGCAGCGCTGGTGTCCCTGACAGGTGCCTCGGACCCCACGGCAGAACCAAAGGGCTCACAGGGCTCTCATCACAGCATCTGTCTGACAGCTCCTCTGCCCTCAACCCAATTATCCTAGCGCTGTCCATGACTAATGTTTTGGCAAAATGGAATGTTTACTCCTTTTGCTTTGTCCTTCCGTATCTTAGGGTTATTTTAATGCATCACAGAGTCTCTTAAAACTGCCTGGAAAAGACATTTCCTCCTCTGCCTTCTCAAAGCCACAGCCTGCTGTGAACTCTTGCACAGACACAGAGGGCCCTGGGTCCTGCAGACACCTGGACCACAGAGGGGCATGGGCAGGGAAATGGCAGCACCAACCCCACATGACAGAAAAGACGAACAAAAACCTGGTGGCCACAGCCAGGGTCTCAGAGAGGCGTCACAAGGCTTCCTTTGCCCCAGACTACCCCCGAACCAAACCCTCTAGCAAATAACATTGTATGTAATTTTTTTTAACAAGAGGTGTATTTATGTGTTACTTGAATAATTTAAAATAAGTTTTTAAAATCAGCCGGTGACCTGAGGAAGCCAGCAGCCAGACCCACACACAACACGAGGCAGGGGCTTCTCAGGAGTGAGACGACGTTTCTCCCACCACCTCCTCACCCAGCGCCGGCCCCTGCCTCTGTGCCGGGTGTGGAAGCACAGCCCCCAGGGAGCAGAGCAGAGGCTGCAGTGGCCTCTGGAAGTCCCGACACTGACTTCAGAGCTAAATCACTCTTCAAAGGCAAAGTAGAAAACAGCCACCACCGCAAAAAGCCAAGCATGTGTGTGGTCGGAGGGTGGGGAGGCAGCAGCTTTCTCTTGGATCTGGAGCCAAGATCACACTCCAAAATGGGGAAACTCCCTCCCCTCCACCTTCAGAGATTCTATCACAGCCACTGCTCCTGGGATGAGAAAAGCAACTGACAACTCATGTGTGTGGAATTCACCGCTGACCCGGGAACAAAAGCTCTCAGCAAGTCTCCAGTAAAGGGGCCTCCAGAGCTCCCAGGGGCTTGACGTGGAGTGTATGTGTTTTTGATACAGGGGTGTGGTGCTGCCACAATGTGAGTCATCTGTATAATGGCCGCAACTCACGAAGAAATGTGGGAGGCGCCCGCAGCCCACCAGCTTCCCCGAGGCCTGGGCGAGGGACAAAAGGCAGTTCAGTTCGTCACCAGGTGGCTGGGGAATGGTAATGAGGTGATCGCTTTCTGTGGAGTCTTCATCATGAGTGTTGGGGGACAGCCGCATTCACCTGAGCATCCCCCTGAGACCTCAAGCCAGGGGCTGCTGAGCTCTGCTGGACAAAAGTGAAGGCCTCCTCACAGGGCCGGCTCCCCTCCAAGTAACCTAATTCCCCACTAGACACACTTCACTGGGGTACGTCCATGGGAGGGTGCTCTGGAGCCTCAGGAGTATCTCCCACAGGACCTGAGACTCCCTCCAACAGCCACCATGATCTTTCCAGTGGGGGAGAAGCAAACGGATTAACCAAGTGCTTGTTTACTGCCTGCTGTTCATGAGCAAGGTACACCAAAGTGTCTCCTTCCAGGAAACACATACAGAAAGAAGAGAAAAATTTAATACTCATGATAGCCTGGTAATACCCCTTGTTTAGAAATGTGCTGGCTTTTACGTAAGTATTGCTATGGTTTGACTGTGTCCCCCAAAGGCTCTTGTGTTAGAACCTTAATTCCCAATGCAGCAGTGTTGGGAGATGGCAAATGGGTCACGAGGGCTGAGCCCTTACTCTCACTGTTACGGGAGAAAGGGAGAAAGGTAGTTCTTGAAAGAGTGAATTTGTTCTCATGCAATTAGATTGATGCAAAAGGCAAGCCTGGCTCACTCCTGCAGTCTCTTTCACTCATGCCGGCTTCCATTTCCCTTTGCCACCAAGAGATGAAGCAGCACAAGGTGCTTCCCAGACACGGTTGCCCAAACTTGGACTTCACAGTCTCCAGAACATAAACTTCTTTCCTTTATAAATTACCCAGTCTCAGGTTATGACAACAGAAAATGGGTCAGGTGTATAGTTTTACCTGTAAATAAGTTGGGGAGTTACTTGTCCATCACTGTCCCAAGCAAAAGAGAGATGGCACCATGGTCCTTCAATTTGATGGTAAGTAAAGCAACATAAAGAGCCAAATCTCAGTGGAAAGTCTGGGGCAGCCCTCTGTGCCACTCTTTTCTCCAGCCCATCTCACAACTAATCAGGGCTCAGGGCTTTGAATGCTTGAAATGTCCCACCTTTAGGGAAATCAAGAATAACAGAAGTAATGGGAGAAATACGATGAGGAAAAACCTTGAACCAACCTCTATGTCTTGGTGCTTTCTGATGTTTCTTGCTTTCAGAGAGTCATAGGACTGCCCAGCATGGTCAAGGCAGCCACAGCCTGATAGAGGCTAAGGCAGGACTTTCAGAGCCCAGTTCTAGCACAGAAAGAGGAAGGTGGGAGGTGGGCAGGACCCTGATAAAGGCATTTCAGGACAGGCTGATGAGCTGAGCCACCCCAGTGCTGAGAGGGAAAGGTTGGGCCAGGTAACACCCTGGGAGAGATGGTTCAGTGGAGCAGGGACTCACAACAGGGATTTACTGCTCTGTTTTCACCTCGCTAGTGCCATTTGCACATGGCCTGTCTGGTTAAGTCACTCTCCCCAGTGCTGGCTCCTGGGCAGAGGTCAGCAGTGCCTTGGGGCACCAAGGACACCCACAGATGCTACACTCAGACCCGCAGGACATCCCGTTCAGCCCAGGCTGCTTCAGAAACCAGAGGCACCCTTCTTCCAATGGGTGATCAAGCTCTCTGAGGCCAACAGCAGAGGCCCTGGAACATGGCACCCCTGGGACTCCCCTCTCCAGACCTCCCACGCCCACGAGCCAGCAGAG